CCATCAATCGCCTTACATCTCTTCCAGTAAGGTGACTCGGGAGAATTTTCTTCTAATGCCGGAATAGAGTTATCTACAAACCCGTACTTGTTCTTGGCAAAAGGAGCAATGCTCATTTCGCTGGACCAGTCTGCATAATTGTCATCCCTTAGCAACTCCTTGACATGTAGCTTCCATGGATTATCCGAAGCAGATAAAAAGTAGTGAGAGTTTTGATCTACGACAAATGGAGTCGAGGATCCTTCACCAGGTTTGGACTTGGTGCTTTGAAGAACTTTTTTTTTGTTATGTTTGGATCGTCACATGCTCTGATACCATAAAGAAACGTTTTGCACCAGAAACTTGATTTTCTCATTCATGTGAAGGGGATGGTCCCTACTGAGGTAAAAGTCTAGAATGGGGGTGGCGAAAAAACTTTTAAATCTTTTCGATTTATCAACCCTTTTTCCTCTAACGGAGTTAGTTCCAATATCTTTTGAGAGATATGGTAACATTCAGCGGAAGTCTTGACCTCATAAGTGTGACACTTTATAGTAACGAAGGTTATGATCCTTTAGTTAGATGGGAGATGGTTTAAACAGAGTTCAAATGTGTTGTCAAAGTCAGCTACCTCAAGGAACAGACTGCCGAACAAGGTTACTGCTTTAGAATCAGCTATCTATAGGAGCAGGCTACCGAATAGATTACTGCTTAAGTGTTAGAAACATAGTGAAAAACTATGATATAAAACATTGTTGGACATTTGGAATAGACTAAACACATAGGTATGAAGGATTTTGACCTTTATGGACATAGATCTCTTTTCAATACAAGAATGAGAAATAAGGAGATTAAGGATGTTTTTACTTGGACTTAATTTGTCCCAGACCAGACCAGACCAGTCCAGACTAGACTAGACCAGACTTGGATAGTTATAAAAATACAAAGAAACCAAACCAGACCAAACCAAACCAGTTCAGACTAGATCAGACCAACAAATTATAGTCCAAGTAAAAACATCCTAAGATGAAGTAAATTGGATACTTTACTAATTAGTAATTGAGAAAGCTGTTTAAGTTGACTGGAAAGATGTGAATGTGAGTCAGAACTGTTGTGTGTTGTGAGAACTGAATATAAAAGGTGACACAAGATATATCCTGCTTCGGAGGTGGTGTAATCCTCTTACATCCAGTCTCATCCTCTTTCGATCAGATTAATTTCCACTACATTTTGTGCCCAACATTTAGTGCCCCTTACATTTAGTGCCCAATCTATCCTTGGCCGCAGGCATAGATCATGAGGTTTTTCACAAAGAATTTGAACATCTTTCTAAGCTACTCATGCTTCCAAGGTTTTTCACTAATGACATTGACATGCAAGCCAAAAGTTACTATTGTCCTTGCCCTTGACTTACCTTCTGGATTTGATCACAGAGCCCTCCAGAGTTTACAAACTAGTCTAGTTTACAGGAGTAAAGCTAAACTACCAACTAAGTAAGCTCTAAAGATGTATATGTATTTGAATTATTCTAAGAGCTTAGGAAAGTGTGGTGATAACTAAGAGGATGAAGGAAGATTAACACTTTTGCTGGATATGTCGTATGATCTCATCTTCCTTCTTAGCTCCACACACTTTTGTTCTCACGCTCTCCTTCTGTATTTAAAGACTGATTTGTTGAAGGTGTTCTGTTGGCTTAAGAGATTTAATCTTGACCGTTGCTTTGATCCACCTTATTTATCTATTTCACTGAAAGGCAGCATGGTTGGCTTTTGTCTTCTTGTAGCACTTCTTTGTTTCAACTTACGTTCCTCATTTCAAAGCATGTAACAAAGATAAGATTTTTAATCTTTGTCCGTAGAATAAATAGAGCAAGTTGATTTTCAGATTCGTTCAATGCTTCCTTAGTATATAAATCCCTTGCTTTTAGTAAAAATAATGTTATAAGAAATTTTCATAAGGACCATAAGGTTGTAAAAATTCCTTATAAAAGTACTTTCTGGCTTTGTCTAAGGTTTGAGTGCAAGTTGATCTTTTAATTTCTTGTTTATGCCGTAGAGAAGATTAAAGTATTTCAGTGGCCTTGGTTAAAAACATAAGTCAGTGACCGATAGTTTTTTGTAGCCTACTGATTTTAGATTTTCAGCACGCTGCTGATTTAAGAAGGGTTTCCTTTGACTCTTTTTTGTACCTTTTTCTTTTAGTTTCTTTTCTTGATTTGATACGTTTTCTTCTCTTTTAGTACTCTTCTATTATTTTTCTTATGTTTGTTTTGAGTACTTTCTTATTCAGCACATATTGTAGCACAATACAATAAACAAAACTAAAGCTACATATCAAGTGATTTTTTAGTCTAATACAGGATAGGGAAAGGGGGTGACATCATCAAAACCTTAAACATCAAAATCTGGGGACCTAATAGAAGGATATATATACAGAAGGATACAATAAAAAATATTACAAACTAATTAAATATTTTCCGTCCTAAAATACTATAATCTGATACTAAAAATATATGCTAATATTATTCTCAAATCTTCCAAATCTTCCAGAATGTTTGATTTCCATTATTATTTTTTTCCTCAAAAAAAAAAAAATCAAAATTTTTCAATACGGATTGCATTGAAATAAATATAATGAGTAAATTTCTCTCTTCTTCCCATTAGACATTATTGTTAAATTTTTGTCAAGATATTAAATTTTAACCAATGATATATTTATAGTATACTACATAAAAATACTTTCATAATACTTCGTATTTGTTAAAAATGCCTTTTGTAAAAATATAATATCAATAATTTCCATAAAAACAGTGTTTAGTGCTTATTCATAATTACTAATCAAAATTATTCATCGATTGAATTTGTGGATTGATTTTGAAAGTGACAAAGTGGACCTAGTAGCTAGCTAGACTACGAAGGGAAGGGCTGGAGTTGCCGGCAGGCCCTTAATTAGTTCGGGCCATCCGTACGTCGTAACGCACCATACGTGTCGTGTGGATCTGAAGCTTATTGGTTCACGTCCAAGTCTCTACCCCACCATAGACCGACGTTAATTATCAAGGTTATTAGGATGTTTACTTTTGAAGTGAAATTTACGGGTCTAGTTTGGTCTGAATTAGTCTGGTTTGATCTGATAAATGTCTGATTTTTGTGTATTTGATAACTACGGAAGTTTGATTTGATTTGGTTTGGTCTAATATGGTCTGGTCTGATTTGGTCTGGTATGAGATTGAAAACAATCCAAAAGAAAACATTCTTACCCATCTCAGAAGCTAATTTTATTCTATTATCACGTCTGGTCAGGGACGGAGCCAGGACATTATATTGGGTCGGACTGGGCCGATACAAAGAATATTTTTAAATTTTTTCAGGTGAAATTTTTTACACTAAAAATACAGAAATTTTTAAAATTTGGTTTGGGTCAGGGCTGGCCCCTGACTACGCCCTTGCGTCCAGTATTTCTCCACCGTAGTATTATGATTGTCTTAATTTATTCTTATTTTATCAATGTATAATATATACTATTGTACAACGTATTAATAACATAAGTTCACGTTTCTTAATAATTGCACCTTCTCCTCATGTTTCAATGTTAATGGGAGAGTCATGGCAGAGTCAGGGCATTATTTGAAATTACGTGAAATTTTTTTTACAGTAAAAATGTACTATCCTCTATCTGTTGTTTAACAATTCCAACTATTTGACTTTTACGTTTGTCAACGCATTATTTGACTGTAATTATATTTAATCATGAATGAGTAAACATTACAAATTAAAACAAATAAATTTTGGGTATTCACATTCATAGAAATTTAATAAGATTTTATACTACCTAATAAGTACCTAATAATTTGATTACGTATATTAGTACAAAGTCGTGATCAAAGTAAGGTGTATAAATATAACAAAAATAACGATGTGGCAACAATTGAAAAGGGGAGATTTCCCTAAATAGGACTAAATAAAAGGATAATTGCAACAATAAGAGTTTAATATTTGAATCCTCAAAACAGGACTAACTCTTCCTATTCTACCCTTTCCCTTGTCCTTCCTAATAGGACTTTTTCAATAATCTTTATAAAACATAAAAAAATTAACATGAAAAATGAAAATCATAAAAATAAATTAAAAATATGCAGACCTCAACCACCATGACACCTTAGCCACCTTCCAGCACCGCCATCTCCAGTCGCCGGAAAAGATTGCCAAGTTGGGGAAAAATCATCGTGATGACAATTTTGAAAAGAAAGGTGGATATTTTAAAAGAGTAAAAATGCATCTTTATGACATTTTTCCAACGATCGGAGGTGGTGGTGCTGGGTGATGGAGGATGCAGAGGTAGTGACCTAAATTTTTTTGGTATTTTATTTTTTTAGATTTTTTAAAGTTTGTTAAAATATTTTAAATTTTTAAATATTCTTTTATTTAATGTTTTCTCAATTTTTTATTAATGTATAAATATTTTTACGATTTTTTATGTTTTTACTATAAATGAAATTTTGATTTTTTGTATTAACAAATAAATCTATGGGAAATTATAGGTTGGGGTAAAATAGGAAGAAGATACATATTTTACTCATATTTTGGGAATAAAAAAAATATAGTCCTAATGTGGAATTTTGGGCTACTTTTAGTCGGATTTAGGGGTAATAGCAGATTAAAGAATGAAGAATATAAGTATTGTTTTTTTAAAATTTGGGTTAAGCGGACCCTAGGTCAGTCCCTACCTCAACCCCTACTCCAGCCGCTGCTATATAAAGGGAAAGTTCTTTAAATAGGACTAAAACAATAGAAAATTCCAAAATAAGACTGTCATGTTTTTTATTCTCAAAATAGGAGTAATTATTGCCAAGTTTGGAAAATACTGTCATGTTTGAAGTCCGGTACTGCCAAAACATGGCAATAATTAGTCCTATTTTGAGAATAAAAACAGGATAGTCATATTTTGGAATTTTCAAACTTTTTTAGTTCTATTTCAGCTAATATTCTCCTATATAAACACCCCTCCTTCATAAACTCCTTACACACAACACTGCAATCTAGCTGTATTATTTATACACCAAATTCATTTCAAAGTAGATATTAAATCTTAGTATACAATTAATTAGAATACCCAGAGATAATTAATTAATGGCAGGTAAGATGATGGCGGTGAAGTCGGTTGCATGCATGGCCATTTTGTGCATGCTTGTGGTAGCGCCGTCGGCGGAGGCGGCGCTGACGTGCGGCACCGTTATCTCAAAGCTCGCTCCATGCGTTTCTTATGTCAAGGGGGCTGGTGCGGCGCCTCCGCCTGGAGCTTGCTGTGCTGCCATAAAGGCCTTAAGTGCCGCAGCTACAACCACCGCCGACCGCCAGGCTGCCTGCAATTGTTTGAAATCTGCTGCTAAAGCCTATACCGGCGGTCAGCTCAGTCGCATCTCCTCAGTTCCCGGCAAGTGCAACGTCAACATTGGCTACGCTCTCAGCACCAGCACTAACTGTGCCAGGTAAGTAATTCATTGATCTATTTTACGTACTCATACGAAGTAATATGTACTCCGTACTACTAATTTTGTATATACCTAGCAAGGTTATTTTTAAATAAGCCGGGATAGCGGCCTGTAGCCGACTGTAGCAATTGTAGCGGCGTGAAATATTTTCAATTGCGCAAAACATATATTCAATTGCGCAAAGCATATATTGCGCAAGTCCACTTCCAAATTCATAATAATAATAATAATACATATTTGTGTTCCATTTCCAATTTCATTTGCATAATCCATAATAATGCCACTTTCGTTCCAAATTGTTTTGTTAAGTCAACATTTTTTTCATCAACCGATATTAAAGTTAAATCATCTTTATTAATAATTAATTCGGCTTTAATAGTTATAATTTACATATTTATTAATATTTGCTACCATAATGTGTGTGGATAGATGTACATTTCATTTAGAGTTCGACTCCATGCATCAACATAAATGTATTTTTTCACATCATTCACACAACATTTATACATTTACACACCAACCAGTTCGTGACGTGATGCCGGAAATGCCAATAGCGGGCTGTAGCAGGCGACGTAGCGGATTTTTCCCGTAAATTGGAAATCACACACCAAAAGCAGACCATAGCGGTGGCAGCCCCTACCGCGACCGCTATAGCGGGAGCGGGCCGCTATTTCAAACCGTGATACCTAGCTAATACTCCGTATATACGGAGTTCTTAATTTTTTAAGAAAAAATGAATAGTAGACTGAGATTGCATATTGATTGTAATATACTCCAAATTAAGACTGTAAACAAAAATTCGAACTTTATAGTCCATTAATCACAAATTGATTTAAAAGGTCAACATTTTTTTTCAATCAATGCTAAAGTTAAACCTTTCATATTGATAATTAATTCAATTTTTAATAATTAAAGTTTACATATTGAGAATTTACATTTTCTTAAAGTTATAAACTTCAAATTATAATATAATTAAAAATTGACATTCTAATTAAGTGAATAAAATGAAGTTATTATTTTTGCAAGATACGCAAAGTAGTAGTAAGAAAAATATAGAAGAGGAAAAAATCGATCTTGTTCATCTCAGTACTTCGTACATCCTGTTTATATAGCCGCATGGCTTTTACATTCCAAAACACGGCTCACCCTAAATCAAAATAAGAAAGAAGTCCAAAAGAAATAAACTTCCTAAAATACAATGATTTAAAGAGAAGTTAACTCCCAATAAACTTCCTAAAATACAACGATTCGAAAGTAAATAATTCGAATAAGTAAATAAATTAACTCCCAATAGAAGTTGTTTGACAAAAAAGTCAATTTTACAAATCAATTTTAAACTAAGGTAAATCAATTTGATAGTACTTGTTTAGTACGCACTACAAACTCAATATAATACGAAGTACTACGTATAACTTTAGTGATTAAGACAATTTTCAATTTTATAATATAATGATCATGATGATATACTTAAGTGTCCGGAGTAATAATTAAAAACAAATCTCATATATAATCTATGTTTTAAATATTTTATTGAATATAATTAATACGTGGGAACTATGATATGATAAAAAATAATAATACAAAAAAAATGTTAGATAGAGTAACATTTAGCTAATAAATGTTACTTTCGTTTGAGTAACATTGAGAATGAAACGTGTGAGGAGGTAGTGCAATTATTAAGGAAACGAGTTTACCTTCTTTATATTGAAGTGATAAAGCTAAGATGAGAAAAACCTACTAGAACACTTGGAATTGTTTTGAAATAAAGTATCAAAAGTTTGTCTTTATTTTTTTTTATATCGAGCCACTAATTTGTTGAATTGGTATGGTGCTTGATGCAGTATTAAATGAGCTAGCTGATGCAAGGAGATAGGGGTTGGAAGTGGTTTTCATCGTTCCTTGTCAATACCATGGTCAATCTATACTATCTATATTTGAATGTTTACAATGTTTTTAATAATTTAAGCATATATATGTACGGAGTATGTTTTTATTTTATCTTATGAGAAATAAAAGAGGCCGGATTTATCGTCCCCTTAGGGATGCCGCCCTTTATTAGTTTGTTTTACGTCCCCCTGGCTTACAGTTTATCTATTGTTGTTTGTTTGTTCATGATAATTTGAAACATTTGAGCCTTATAGTTGTACTAGTTCTATAACGCACGATGCGCGAGGGAAAAATGCCCAATGTTATTTTAACAAGATTAACATAATGTGAATGTTAATGATTAATATATTTAAAATTAAGTTATGTGAAGTTGCAAACAAGATTAGTTTTATGCATATTTTCCCACATAACAGATGATTAAAATGGGGCGTGAGCATCTCTTTTCCCATAAGCCTGACAAGGATCGTTCCAAAACGCCCTATAAGAATGTAATATCAATAATGTGGTAATAAACAATCTAAGAAAGGGTGGGCATGATGATTAGGTTTATAGGGCCTAGCTAGAACATGTACACCATTTTGATGTTTGAATCCAATAGCACTAAACATCTGAAGTACGATATCGACAGTGGATGAGCTAGGGACCATGGGGGTACCCGCCCCCCGCTTCGGGCAAAAAAAAATTCTCACTTTCCTTTTTTGTTCTTAACGAAAAAAAATTCCAATTTCTAAATCTTCTCGTCATACCCTCAATAATTTTGAAAATAAAACACTATTACAACTACTTTTTTGGATTTGTCCTTCATTCTATCACATTATTCCACTATTTTCCCATCATACTCTCAATAATTTATATTCTCTATCACTATTCTTAATCTACCTACTTTTGAAATGGTAAAGTTTTTAAATATACATAAAAATAAAAATAATCACTAAAAATAAGATGAATAATTAAATTAGAAATGACAAATTAAAATAATTAGAATAGAATAATAATTTTCAAAATTCTTGCATAAGGTAACATACATAATAAAAAATGAAAAAACAATTAGAACATTAAATGGAAATCAAATCAATCTAAGTGCATAGAATAATTAAATGGAAACTCAAAAGTTTCTGTTGGAAATGTTGGAGTTAACGGAGTTAAGGGGAAGATTTAAATTTAATGATGAATGGTACAATGACTAAAACAAATTGTACAAGTGTAAATTGCTTTGGTGTTACACCAACACTTTTATCATTCTTAAAATGCCCTAACCATCATTGGTGCTTATAAGTTTTTAGAATTTAGAAAATAAAAGTTTGGGAAAATAGAAACTAACAATCCAACCTTTTAGCGATCTTCTTACAATAGTCTCACTTTTTCGTTATTCATGAATAATCCAACCTTTGCACCTCATCTTCATCGTCCCTGACCGATTTATGACCTGCTACTCCAAGTTATTTTCTTATCTTTATAAACCATTATACTATAAATCTCACCTTTTACAAAGATAATATTTTGCAAAGATAAGAAAATAACTTCAAATAGCAGGTCATTAATAAGTCAGGGACTAGCGAATGAAGATGGGGTGCAAAGTTTGGATTATTCTTGAATAACGAAAAGGTGGGACTATCGTAAGAAGACTAAAAGGTTGGATTATTAGTTTCCATTTTCCCTAAAAGTTTTGCTTTGTTTGTAGATGTATGACTTCTATATTATTAATGATGAATCAAAATCTAAAAGTTTACAATGGAATAAATTTAATACTATGTAAATTTTTAACATTACTAAAGTATACGGATTTTTTTTTAAAACACTATATACGAAGTAGTTAAAATTGAGAATGTGAAGATATAAAAAGTCAAATTTAACTCTTCAGAGTAATTACGGAGTATAAAAGTGGCAATATAGTGAATTAGATGCTGCCACACAGGGGCGGATCTAGCATTGTCATTCAGGTAGGGTCAAAATTTAATTAATTAAATAACGTGTGTTGCAAAAAAATGTCGAAATGTAGTAAAATAGTATGTAATTTAACAGTTTTTTAAATATATAATAAAATATGTTGCAATTGAAATGTCAAAGATAAAAATAAATATAACAGTAATAAGAATATTGAACTAATTTTCATGTACCAAGCTCAATGTATTGAACAAATTAATTTTTCGGGCTAATATTTAAAGGGAAAAGGTACAAATATACTCATGTAGTATGGGTGTGAGAACAAATATACTCATGTTCTATTTATTGGGAACAAATATACCCCTGAAGTATCTGTTGAAATGCATATGTACCCTTGAACTTTTTAAAAGTGCAAAAATACCCCTCATGTTCTTATAAATGAGCAAATTTACCCTTATTAACTTTAAATATATTAAATAAATTTAAAAAAACACCATGAATAAATTATAAATTCGATATTTATTAAAATAAATATTTATTACGGAGTATTATGTTAAAATATTACTCCTTCCGTCTCACTAAGATTGTCCCATTTTACCTTTTCGGGAAATGCCACTAAGATTGTCCCATACCAAATTTGGTAAAGTTTGTATGACTATAAATCATTCATACTTTATTTTTAGTTTATCAATTTAATATCAACCACACAAACTCACTTTTCTTAATAATCGTGTCACCTTCTCTTGTCTTAATCTTAATAGGACGGAGGTAGTAACTCTTTAATTTTAAATTGCAAAATTATTATTCTTCCATTGTGAATAAAGCATTTCAAATTGATAAATATTAATTTTAGTCTTGTTTTGAAAATTTGAACACATCGTTATATTTTTTGAGATAACATTCAATTCTGTGATTTTATTTAACCTTAATAAAATAAAATTTACTATTTGTAATCTTGGACTATTTAGCATCATACAAAATATGTAATTTTATAGTGCAAGGAATGCAAAAAATTACATTGCAACACATATGTTAACACTTTTATCAAAAAAATCTTAAATATATAGTAAAGTTTTGAAATAATATTTTATACAAACAATATTAAATTGTGATATACAAATATAAAAGGGAGATTTGGACACAAGTACATTATTAAAAATTTTTATTTTTGAATTTATAATAAAGGTATATTTTTGGTCCCTTATAAGAACATGAGGGGTGTTTTTGCACCTTTAATTTCAAAAAGTTCAGGGATATATATGCACTTCCATATATACTCCATGGGTATATTTGTGCCGAAAATAGAACCGTATATTTGTTCTAACACCCATACTAAAGAGGTATATTTGTACCTTTTCCCATATTTAAAAACCCCAGAAGCGTTCACAATGTTAGTATATCTAGCTCATAGCTCATTCAGCGATCAAGATTGGTGTTAAGCTTGTAGTAATTGAATTTAAGAGACCAAGTTTATATATATACTCCCTCCGATCCCAAAAGAACTTCATTGTTTGACTTCACGATTTTTAAGAAAATAGAATTTTTTGTTTTGATAAGAGTCTGCACTGTCTTGAAAAAAGACTGTGTACATAACACTAGTAATACTTTGATGTCACAAACATTACAATAATGCCGAATTAAATTGCATTCACACCAGTGTCTCAAGCGTCATGCATTTGTTAGTGTTGAGACATATAATACGAAATTGGATTGTTTTATTTTCACACACAAAGCTTAACAAGCGAATAAGCATTTTTATATTTTTTAAGTTTAAAAGTATATGTTTGTTGCCGTTATAGCTACAATCACATCAAACCGTGTTATCTTTTCAAAATTTTATATATTCTTTATTTGAAGCTCATATGTTCAACTGGGGCAAATTTTTTAAAAGACACATTTTTTCATGATCTATGAATTACAATTAATATTAGAAACTTATTTATTTTGGAAGAAATTTATGGTACCTAGTAGAAAGCAAGTTATAAACACTAAAGACGTGAAAATTGATTTTTCTAATTTAATAAATCAAATATATTATTCAACATACACCGTTGCATAGATCTTGAAATATTTCGTATAATATATGTAGTTTTAAAAAAAAGCTACTCCGCTTGGATACCCAAACACGAAACAAATATAGGACGAACTATAGCGTTGCACATTTCCATTTGGGAAAACACCGAGAAGTAAGACCTCCAACTTAAAAAGAATATCAATGACATGTCTTTGTTTTTTAATTTTGGAGAATAAATAGGTAATTAAACATGCTTTCCAGATTTTCTTTCTTCAGTTTTCTAATTTAAGAAAAACGGAACATATTCACGTTAGTAAACAGGCCCTTAATTTTTAAGTTACCGGAATTTGGAAATTTTCAATGTATAACAAATTAAATGATAGTTTTTGTCCAATTTAAAATGAATACAAATTCAACTAGCTATTTGAATTCAATATACATCTTAAACCCTTTTAATTATAAGAGAAACTGTCAAATCAGTCCACTTACTATTTCAAAAAAGCTCATTGAGTTCATATACAATTTTTTAATCAATTAAGTACACAAAGTCTGAATTTTTCACCAATTGGGTCATTTAACTCCTAAAAAAGTACTACCTTCGTCCCATTTTATGTGTCTTACTTTGACTTGACACGATTATTAATGAAGTGGTTGAAAAAGTAAAAGTTGTGATTAGAGTTTGAGTATAATAAAATGAAATGGTGTAGACCACATATTTCGTTCCAAAAAATGAAAGGAGACACTTATTTTGGGACAACTCAAAAAAGAAAGTAAGAAAGGTAAAATTTGATGGAGGGAGTGATTTTTTTTTTTTCACTTTCCACACCCTTCCTCTCTCATGTGCGTCTAATCTTCAAAATATTCCCCCATGTTAAAATGTACAGTTTCATCCTAAAAGGTCAACCTGATAGGAGAAGTAGCTCAAATCTTATTATAAACTTTATTACTTCACAATTTTTTGGTGTGACACTTCAACACTTCTCATGACCAGCCACTTCGTCTGGATCATTCCATCATTCATTTTTTCTATCGGTTTATCGTTGTCATTTTTTATTACCATCATCATTTTCTCATGGGGTCTCCACACCATAGTTATGGATCAATTTGGCTATGATTCTATGCTAAGACTTAACGAACGTTGCCCAATATTAATGCAAATGTTGTAAAACCTGAGCCAAAAAGTCATTATTTGGGCGAAGTTTTGAATTTAAAAGACTCAAGAAATCATTATAATGTTTGTAAATGTGAATGTAGAGCAAATCCTAGAAAAGTGAAGTGCAGAGACATTGTGCTCAGGTTAGCAGGTTTGTTGCTAACCTTTTTATTTAGTCTCCTTTCGATGCGGCAAACATGGAGGTTGGGCAGAATATAAACATAGTCAGATATATTTTATTATTTGTATAAGGTCGTACACAAATGAGGTAATGAACACATAAATGTATAATCTTCAATAAGGTTTACACCTGCCACTTGTTCCTTGGAAATCTTAATAGTGAAGAATGAGATTTTTTTTATCATAGTGAAGAATGAGATAAAAATAATCTACCATGATTAGTTTGAAAATTAGTTAATAAAATATATGTGCCATACATGCATTTTAAAAAGACAAAGGATTTGGGTTTCTAATTCAAAAACCATGGTTTGGAAACAACAATATAAGTTTATGTGGCCCATGAAGGCATGAGATGGTTGTGAGTATTCTCTTTTGTTCATTTGAAGTAGTAACCACATCATATGCCGAAATATAGTTTTTGATATTCTTTGACTATATAGTAAAATAAGCACATATATTTTACTAACTAAATTTCAAACTAATCATAGTAGATTATTTGAATTCTCTGAACGATGACAAGTTGAGAGATCAAAATTCAAATGCACACAAAAGTACTTGAGAGATCAAAATTCACAAATGGCTAGTTCACAAGAATGACTTTTCAGCATGAATGAACAAGAAATATTTTCCTGGAATAAAGATGATGAGAAATACCTACACTTTCATTCTGTAATATTATGGATTTATGTCATTGTATAACTTTCCAAGACTACTTTTTGACTTCCTTGTGCTATGTTTTTCAACAACACAAACTTTGCAATTCCATGGATTAACACTGGGCTTCATTTGAGAGATCAAAAGCATGTTGGATGTCATTCTAATGATTAAACAACAGGAAAAGGAGAGTGATCAGTGAAAGAAATTGTGAATTTTAAATTGGAGAAATTAAACGGCAGAATGATAGATGCAAAAACGCAAAAGTATAATTTTTAAAAAGTATAGTTGTATATACTTGTGAGCTCAAAGAGAATGGGAAAGAACTTTCTAATACAACAATGTGAATTAAATTTTCCTTTGGGATAGAAAATACACTGGAATAATACATGCATATTTATATCAGTACGTAAATATGCCATGCTTCCTATTTTGTGACGGAGAGTGCTTTTTTAATGCTTCTAGTTCAACCATAGAGCTTGTGAAAGATTACATCAATATGGATTGCCTTATTTTAGTTTTAAAATAATTGATAGTGATTCATGAGAGTCTAAAAGGTTTGGTTTGTCATCACTTAGCCATGAATTGGTTTCCTGCACGTCATCTTCTTCTAATACCACGAGAAACGCTTGTAGTTACTAATCTTTTATGGGAAAATAGCTAGCCCCGAATAGAATCAAATTCTTGCTGAAATTCCCAAATAGGAGTAAGTATAATATTATTCCCTAAATAGGACTATTCTTCCAATTTTACCCTCCAATTCATTTCAACCCTTCGGCCCCTCATAACCTTCGCCGCGCTCATCACTGTCGCATCTTTGCGCATAGCAGGGCTTCAATGGCAGGAGAGCAGCGAGCGTTGGCGAGAAGCTAGCGTCGTCGAGAAGCGGCAATGAGAGTCGGGTCTCTCTTCCTCTCACTCCTTCGATTTTCAATTTTTTTCCATCTCAATCTAGTGCAGATGCTGTGGTGCCAAGTCCTAGGTCTTCTTCTTTGCTTTTACTTTTGTTTTATATGAATTTGTTTGAGCTTTTACTATAGTTTTTTCTTCTTCTTGCTCATGTTTCAGTTTTGAAATTGTTGTGTTTGTCAATAATGGTGAAATGAAACTGGTGTGGTTTACTTGTTGTTACAATTGCCATTTTTTTAAATGTCATAAGAATGACATGTTTACTCTTTAAAATTTTCATATTTTTCTTTGAAAATGCCATTAAGATGGCATTCTCGATTCATGTTGGCATTTTCATAAAAAGGTTGACAGCACTGCTGCAATTAAGGACAAGATAGTGAAAAACTTACAAGACTAAGCGACGAAAAGAAACCCCGAATATGGTCAGCTGAGACGTGAATTATTTATAGCCATACACATAACCCTTGAATTTTCAATGGACTGTTGGGTAACCATGGCCATGTGGCAGCAAACATGAACGGAATAGAAGACCAACAAGCCATAGGTAGAGGGCGTGGGAGATGAAATTTAATACCATTAATTGAGCCGGTAGATGAATGATCGAGTCAAGCTATGAGCCTCTGAGGCTGATTTTTTCCTTTCCCAGTTTTGGTAAAATTTATAGCACTTTAAAAACAGATATATAGTAATTTTTGAAGTGTTATTTTTTTTATTTTACATATTCAATGTTGGTGTCATACGAAAGATAATAAAAAGTTATGAATTTTGTTATATTTTTTGTAACAATCAGAGTACAAATAGAAAAGCTATAGCACTTCAAAGAAAACATGAGATTTTTAATTTAGTGGGACCCGTTACCATGTAATGTATTGTTGACTTTGACTTGCTTGCGTGAGTTACGTGATACGGAGTATTTGATAAAAGCTTCAAGTGGCGGCTCTTGTACTAGTTTGCTTAACCATGGTTAATCCAGCAATATTTTGAGAATTATTTTTAAACCAACAATATTTTTGGAATTATTTATTTAATTAACATTATTCAAGGAAAAAACTCCACTTTTTAAATAAATGAGATCTTTTATGTCTTTTTGGGTCCCACAATTGGCTTTCTCCACTCTTGTCCTGCCTAACATGCTTCATCGCCCACGTAAGAGTCGTCAATGAGATTGCCGATTTTGTTAACTCGAGTAAATACTTTCAACCCAACATGAATTTGGTAAATACTTTCAACTCAACATGAATTTGGAACATATTTTTTTATTTACCATTAACTTGGGAAAAAAGACCAATATTATGATAAAGTGCTTTCATTAAGTATATCCTTATTTAATCAAGGCTTCAATCATTAAAGTATATATGTATCGTTACCACATTAAAAACCTTATCAAGTAACAAAATCCAACAAAAAATAAAATGTGGTTAAAGGAAAAGAGTGTAACGTAGTTTAGGTGGGAGACCCTTTCCTCACGTCTACACTTATCCTTAATATTTACATTAATCAAGGGTATTTTGGAAAGTCTAGCTATGTATTCCAATACGTTTTACATTAATTACCATAATGAAGGCACACAAGTAGTAGAATATATTTCCTTTAATTCTACCCCTTGTGTGCTAAGAGTAACCGTGTAAGGTGATAAGTGTAAAAATTACTAACTTGCTTAAACATTGCCAATGAACAAATCTCAATGAAAAAAAAAACATTGGTCTAAGGGAAAAAGAAGTATGCAGCACTAATAAGCACGCATCAATTACTTTTTTATTGCGATATACTCCCTCCGTCCCAATATAAAAGACACACTTTCCTTTTCGGTCCGTCCCAATATAAAAGGCACATTTCCCTTTTTGGCAAACAAAACAGTGCAAAACAGTGCAAAACAGTGCCAAACAGTGTCCAAACAGTGCCAAACAGTGTCTAAACAGTGTCTAAACAGTGCCAAACAGTGTTCAAACAGTGTTCACCCTTAAAATGCCTAGAAACGCAAATGTGCCTTTTATATTGGGACGGAGGGAGTATTACTTATGTTCTTTCTTCAACATCGTATTACTTTTGCCAAATTAAGATGTGCGGTGGTGCATATTATGTTGCTTCAAAAAATCTTATCAAGTAGTAACAAAACCCAATGAGAAAAATAAAACTTGATCAAAATGAAAAAAAAAGAGAGATAACGTGTTGTATGATGCACACGTTATCGCACTCATAGTGTGTCGTACGGAGAATTGTGTGTGTGATTTCATTTCCAAATAACATATAAATAGAGATAAATTAGAATTTACAAGGGTGGATTAATAGACCTATAATAATAACTAATAAGTATGTTTTTACTTGGACTATAATTGTTGGTCTGGTTGGTCTTGTTAAGTCTGGTCTGAATTGACCTGGTCTGTTAAACATTTGGTCTATATGTATTTTATAAGGAAGATTTCTCAAAATAGGAGTAAATGGAGTTTGGAATTTCAAAATAGAGACTACTATGTTTTTATTCGGGAAGAAAAACATAGTAGTCTTATTTTGAAATTCAAAACCTCATTTATTCCTATTTAGGGTAATTTCTCAATTAACTACGGAAGTCAAGTTTGATCTGGTATAGACTGACCTGTTTAAGTCTAGTCTATTTAAGTTTGATCTGATCTAATCTGTCTAAATCGAATTTGATCAAACTAAAAACAATCCAATAAAAACATCCTAAGCTTAAACAAAATAATCCTAACACATACATAGTACTTTTACATACTTTATTTTATAAACATGATAGTATTAACCAAGCATTCCAGCCCAGCTGGTTGTGAGGTGACCGGGATCCGGGGCCTCTGCCTTGCTTTAAAGTAAGGTAGGGTGCCCGGCTTTTCCGGGCCGTTCGATCGGAGATTGGACGGTCAAAGATCTTGGGCTCCACTCCTTCCCCGATCTCGAGGCCATCCTCTTTCCTTCCTTGCCGTCGGATGCCGCAAGGCACTCTGCCTTATGGCAGAGGATCCAAATCCGAGGTGACCGTGCCTAGTGAGAAGTCTCGTATTTAATCATGCATTTCAGCCCAGCTGATTCTCCAAAACAATAACAGTCTTTAAATAACTCTCCGGCCTCGAGTAAAAAAACAAAGATACTTTTCTATAAAAACAACAATAGTTCTTGGTGTACACCCTGAGTTACACCCGGGGTACACCCATTTATTTGCCCTTCTCACAGACAAAAAATACACAAATACAGACACTTTCATTGAAAGTGTCGGTGTGAGTAAACTTAGTTTCTAGATCTGTCAGGCTGGTTGCACGGAAACCAATGTCGGTGTACATAAACATTAGTTATCTGTGTAAACAAAAAAGTGTCGGTGTGAAAAATTAATTGAAAAACAAGTGTCGGTGTACACAGACGTTAGTTGTTTGTGTAGACAAAAAAGTGTCGGTGTGAAAAAATTAGTTGGAAAACAAGTTTCTGTGTACACAGACTTTAGTTGTATGTGTAGACAAAAAAGTGTCGGTGTGAAAAAATTAGTTGGAAAACAAGTATCGGTGTACACATACGTTAGTTGTCTGTGTAGACCAAAAAGTGTCAGTGTGAAAAAATTAGTTGGAAAACAAGTGTCGGTGTACACAGGCGTTAATTGTCTAGTATAAAAAATGTGTCTGTATATATACAATTTTCGTCTATGTACACAGACGCTATAGCAAACCAGTGTCGGTGTGGATAAAACGTAAAAAGTGAGAAGGAAAGAAAAAGAAGAAGATGGTGATGAAGATAATGAAGATTATTAGGGTGAATAAAACCTAAAAAAGAGAAGGAAAGAAGAAGAAGAAGAAGGTGGAGGAGGAGGAGGAGGAGGAGGAGGAGGAGGAGAAGAAGAAGAATAAGAATAAGAAGAAGATGAAGGAGAAAGGAAGAAAGAAAGAAGAAAAAACAAGATGTTGAAGAAGAAGAAAGAGAGGAGGGAGGGGGATCCGTATGATTCAAATGGGAGAGGAGTGGAGAGAAAAAAAGTTGGGAGGGGAGAAATAAGAAATGGGGGGTTATTTAGGGTGTACACCAAGGTGTAACCCAAGGTGTACCAAAAGAATTTTTCTAAAAACAATAACACATGACAAAGAAGTTCCTTCGAACATAACAGTCTTTAGCCTTTTTCTGATGTTACTGTCACTGGAAATTTTTAATAGCCTTTTGGAAACGTTGAAAGAAAAAAAGATCTGGACGGACTTGCAAATACTTTTTCAGCCATCACTGGTTTCAGGCTTTCAGATTCTTTCTTTCTTGTCGATGCGTTAAACCTATGGCCTGGTTGTGTCTAACATTTCTTTTTTAAGCTTCAATTTTTGTTAAAATTACCATTTTTCGTATTTTTTTCTAAGAGATTGGTTAGCTGGGGCAGTTTACTGGATCATCCCGATTTGTGATTATTTCCCATCAAATTCAATTCATGGTTCGAAGTTCGGCTTTTAAAGGTTTCTAGAGGAAGAATGATTGGAATCCAAGCTTGATTTTTTTCCCGGAAGCTGGAATGGGCAAGAAAGGCAGAATTTATGGGCTGATTTTCTCACTGTTAATCTTTTTAAGCTCTTCAAACGCCTCTAACTCAACAGCAAACAGTTCCACTGCCCCAGAACAGGTATCTTGTTTTCGAGATCATTTAATTGAACATTGATTCAAGTTAACTATGCAATCATTTTTTTAGGGTTCACAAGTGAATGAAACAATAAGCATCAAGGGATTAAATGAGAGTTCAGGAATTGAAAAACAAAAGCCTAAAGAGACTCAGGGGAGTGAAGACTTGAGTAAACTGGATTTGAAGGGCTCCAATACCACAGCAGATGCTATACCACCTTCGAAATCGAAGAGTCATGAAGAGAAAGGGAAAGTAGAGAATGTCACAAAGGCAGCCGAGGTCGAGGGTAATGAGAGTTGTGAAGGGGCATTACAAGAATGCCACATTAAGAATACATTGCTCGCCTGCATACAAATGCCAAAAAATGGTACTACGGGTACATGATATTTTCCTTCTTCTGCATATTTACATCAGAGTATTTTTTTCCTTTCTATTGCAAAGAGAAATATGTTTTACTTGGAAAAGAGAATAGAAATCAAAAGAAAACTGAAGTAAAGGGGACCTCAATATATTGATCCTTGAAGTTCTGAAATGAACGTGTAGGATGATTATTTATCTAATCAGTATTTGCAAAGTTTCATTATAAACTAGAATAGGAAAACCTATTCTTGTCCCATTTCAAATAACTTGAAACATGATATTTTCCAGGATACCTAAATTTCTAATATTAAAACTGCTGAGGCTTCCATTTGATTAGAAATTGGATGAATCCTTGAAAATGAGCAGGAATGCTTTAGGATTGGCACTTTAGGACATAGTTGTCATGGCATATGGTGACATCCATGGTGCCAAGGTATTTTCCCATGGATTTATGGCGTCTCCACATGACAAAAAATAACTAAAGATATGAACTATAGACACTATATTTCTATCACTCCACCACCAAAACACGATAAAAAGGTTGAATGTCAACATTCTAACTAAAACATGTGAAGTTTAAATAGTTTATAACTTTATAGTAGTTCCCAAAAACATAATAGTCTAAAAAAGTTTCATGTCTTTGAGAATATGTCAATTTGTTTTTGTTTGATGATTATGCCATAATCATCATCAATTATCACACTCTTGATCATCTCAAAGGAGTTCCATAATCATCATCAATTATCATACTCTTGATCATTTCGAAGGAGTTCCATTTAGTTGTTCCCTGTTGCACAGCTATGAGACTCCAGCTTTTACGTTATTTCAGCACCTTTCTCTGACTTTGCATTAGTTCTTGATTTACTTTTTATTAGGGTAGTTGTCAATATGATGGGCTAACATATTAATTGCTTATTAAGGTTTTAGTAATATTATGGACTGGCAGATTATTTAAATATTTATAAGGGCCGAAGCCCAAAAATAACAAAGTAAACATGTTCAGATCTGTTTAATATTATGGCGCACATGCCATGGAAATGGTGATGGAGCCACCATGTGTATGGTCGTTGACAGGAAGACTTTTTATGGCGATGGAGGGTTTTGTCGCCATATGGTGCATGCGCCAATTCTCGCCATCAACAACCATGCTTTAGCATGATTGTATCGGGACCGTATTAGGATCATTGGGACAACAATAGGATTATGTTGAAAGAAGTTACGCGTAATGAGTCATTAAGTGGTAAAAAATGAAAAAGTAGAAACGTTTTCAGTGAATTGTTCAGGTGACTTCCCGGCTGCCAGTGGTTTCTGGGGGAAGTCGAGGCCGGTGATTGCTGGAGGAAGCAGTGGGCAGGGGTTGATAGTTTGGTAGGAATTAGCAGTAAAAGAAATGAATACTAATTGAATTAGCAGTGACTACAAAAAATTTAAATCAATATATGTGCTGATGTTGAGAGGCATTCACTGATTCACACTATAATTCTAATTATCCTTTACTTAGAACAAATACATCTAGATCAATTTATTTGGATATGAAGTATAATCTTATGATCCTCCATCCAATTCAACGATTCAATATTGTCGATCCCCCAAATGGTCCCAAGTAGTATCTCGATCCCTTGGTCTCAATTCATATCTTAAGAGACTACTAAATGGTTGGCGCTGATTGTCTTGACTTTCATACTATATGCCGAACAAGCTCAATGAATCTAGATTGAATTCATTATTGGGTTTTGGGGGGGGGGGTCACACTGACATGCCATAATAATGTTCATGGGTCAAACCACACTTAGATTGAATTGAATCGATTATCTAGTCTAATCTAAGGTCTCCATTTAAAATTTTAATGTACTACTCTTAAGTCTTAACCAATTTCATCCTTTGCATTTTCGGTTTGAGTTTGTTTTTCATCCCTTTCGTGTTTTCAACAGTAGCCTGGACTTTTAAAACACAAGTTTTAATGATGTTCAAGCGCTCAAAATTTCTACTTTTTCCTACATAAAATAAGTCTCACCTTCTATCTGGTTGTAGGGTCAAAAGAACCATTCCTTGTTCTTCAGAATGAAGGAGATAGCAGGCTGGAAGTGAAAATATATACCCTGACATCAGCAGGAAAAGATTCTGCCACAGTCAATACAAACCAAACAATAAGGGTATGCATTTATATTAGGGAAAATTCTTGAAATAGGAGTAAATAGGTTTTGGAATTCCAAAATATGATTGTTATGTTTTTCTTCCCAAAATAGGAGTAACATGACAGTATTTAATGCTATCATTGCAGTACTACACATTAACATGACAGTATTTTTCAATCATGACAGTAATGACTCCTATTTTGAGAAGAAAAACATAGGAGTCCTATTTTGGAATTCCAAAACATTTCTTACTCCTATTTACGGCAATTTCCCTTTATATTAATATGTGGTTCTCTTTCTATGCAACCTTATTTTGTTGTTATTTTGATTAGTTTGTTATTAAATTATAAATCACCAAATCAAAACAAGTTAATGAAATAGATGGTAAAATGATTCAAGATGATAGCATTGATATAGAATTTGAAGATGCTTTGGATATCTATGGAAGCAAAAGTCAGATTCTTGATAAAGTCGATATCATGTTGACATGTGTGAAATTGTGAAAGTACAGAAGAGAGATTTAGAACAATGGCGGATAATACCTAAAAAGATATATTCCCTCTGTCAAAATTTTCCTCTAATCCCCCCCTCTCCTTTTTGAATTGTCCCTAAAAGTTAATTTCTTATCGTGAAAGTATTGTTCTGTTTATATTGATTCTTTGTTTCTAAACAAATCACAATCACATTATTTTTCTGTCTAAAAACAATGTAGAAACAAAGCAGAAGAACACTTTGGGACGGGGGAGTACATGAATTTGTAGAATCGTAAGAAGTAGGACACTAGTTATGGTACAACTGGAAAAAAAGTAAGGACTACTAAATGATCTCACGTATTTTATTCTAGGAACTTTTAGACTTAGTTTTTATTTGGAAAAAGTAGCAAGAAAAATTTTCATTTCGTTGTGCATTGGGAAAAAAATGAACCTTTGGTCTGTGTTTCATAGAGAAGCTATACTATATTGCTTTGGCACTCCTTTTGCTTTAAAAACTTAGGCTATGTTTTCCAAATATATATTGCTTTACCTCGAAGTAATCCTCAATTACCTCACAATCACGTAGCATATATTATTATTAGACTTAAACCCAGTAAAAAATCAATGCGGGATTCTCAACACATTCCATTCGAACCATGCCACATTGCCACCATCTCCAATATAGGTGGGGTTAAGGAAATGATGCTTCACTTCCCGAACATAAATATGGTTGGAGCTTCCCTTGATAATTGGAGGCATAGATCCTGTGACTTCAAACCCTTGTTGGTTTTCTCAGCATATGTATATCTCTATGAGTTCGTTTAATCAAGTGTGCACAATTATTCTTTACTTATGCAGTCCTGCTTCTTCTATAGGTAAATATACCATCAACTTCGAGCCAAAGATCCAAAACAGTAGTAGTTGATACAGGCATTAGTGGTAGATGTGAGCTTCTTGGGTTGGGTCATTCTGTCGCGCCTGTGGGCAACATTGTCCAACAGTTGTCTCTATACTCAAAACAAGTGACTCCCATCTATGGCGCCTACTTCCTGTTTCTGGTGGCACTAGTTTTTGGCGGGACATGGGCTGCCTGCAAGTTAAGAAAAAAGAAACAGCCCGGCAGTGGAGGAGTTCCTTATCAGGAACTTGAAATGGGGTTACCGGAATCTTCTGCTGTCATACACGTGGACAACACGGCAGAAGGCTGGGATCAGGTTTGGGATGATGACGATTGGGATGAGGACAATGCGGTCAATCCGCACCACCGTCTGGGGAACATTTCTGCCAATGGTCTAACTGCCCGGTCTGCAAAGAAAGATGGATGGGATAACGACTGGGATGACTAGTGAGTGAAGCAAGAAGGAATTTTTTGGGATCAAGAAACACATACAAATCATACAATTTCCAAAGGAGCCTAAAATCTTGTAATTTATTGCTTATGGGATCGATTGATTCTACCACAGAAGTTTTCTGTATCATAAGGTATATGTTCTTGTGGAATACCAAGAACCAGTTTTTTTTAGCTTTTGTATTGAGTTTTTTTATCTTTATAGTAACTACTACTTCGTGGCTATTATTTTACATGCTTTATATAAAAAACTTTTGAAAAAATTAGCTTGATGTGAGCACTTATAGTTACACAGTTATACGTAGTAGTTGGCAATTTTGTTACAGGGCTTCATACGAGTATACGACTTTTATTTCTTTTAAGGAAATAATTAGGTGATTCATATGACCATTATTTCTTGACAATTTAAATTTAACTTTGATACCATAATTTTATTTATATTAAAATGTAAGGTCAAAGCGAAAGAAATCGTACGACAAATTAAGTATGCATTATGTGAAAGAGGGCTTCACCATGGAATGGACCAACATTAATGGTATGCAAAATCATGGCAAAATCATGAAATAATACAGGTAAAAACCCAACTGATATAGATGAATCATGACATTTTCTTAATTGAGAAACATGAAGTCATGAACTACTGGGTGGATGTGACTACTTATGCTCACATGATGTGAGCATAAGATGGAAGCTTCAACTTGTTGGCCTCTTCTCCTATCTTATTATTTATCTGGAAGGGACCATAATATTTCGTTCTCAACTTCTCATTGCTGCACTGCTGTACTAACATTTGTTTATAAGATTGCAGCTTCAAATATACCCAACATCCAATGTTGAATTCTCTTTCACTTTTATTTGATCTACTTGTTGTTTCATACTGTTCTGAACTTTCAGCAGATGAAATTGTAGCATCTTCATGACTTTTTCTCTCTGTTGGAGAATTCTGTCCACTGCCTCATTAGGTGCAGAGCCAAGCAAATAAGGTAAATGTAGAGGTGGTGCTTGACCATATAAAACTTCATAAGGAGTTGTATAATTTGTTGAATGATGGTTAGTAATATACCACCATTCAGCCAATGCTAATCATTTACTCCATATATGAGGATTATCATGACACACATCTCACTTAGGTCTAATGGCATCTGCTAGGTCTAACGACATTTGCTAACCACCTCCATCTGGCCATCCGTTTGAGGATGGTAGGCATTGGCTTTAATAAGTCAACTCCTTATGTCCTGAATAGTTCCTTCCAAAAATCACTAAGAAATATAGAATCTGTATCACTGATGATAGAATAAGGCAACCCATGTAATAATTTATATACATTGTCCATGTATGCATGAACTAAGACTATGAAATGGTTACCTTAGTCAATCTATCAACTACAACAAATATGAAAATCTTCCCACTAGAAATATGTTATCCTTGTATGAAATCTATAGAAACTCTTGACCAAATAGTCTGAGGCAATGGTAATGGTTGCAAGAGTCCGAGATATTTAGCATTATCATACTTGTATTTCTGGTAGACATCAAAATTTTGAATGTGTTGTTGCATGTATTTTTTCATCCTTTCCAATAAAACAGTGACTGATCCTTATATATGTAAGGTGATGTCCCTACCTGAATGCCCGCCCACAGGGAATTATGAAACCATTTCAAAATATCTTCTCTTAACTCCATGTTGGATCCTACAACCAACATCCCTTTTCTTTTTCTAAGCTGAGAATTGCACCAAGTATGATGCTTACATTTTGTGTGGTTTACTGGCAGTTCTTCGATGTAGTTACCCGTTGATATAGATTTGTTTGATTAGCATTAATTAAGGATGATCAAATTGATATTTGAAATTGATAACCTTGAAAGGGCATCAGCTGATTTGTTTTCATATCCCTTTTAGTATTGTATTTCAAAGTTATATGCATAAGCTTGGTCATTAAGTCCTGTTGATAAGGAGCAAAAACTTTTGTTCCACAAGGTATGTGAGGGGTTTTTTAAGCAGTCTTAATAATAAAATGTATATTTATGAAATAGGAGCTCCATGTTGTACTACAAATATCAGAGCAATGAGCTCTCTCTCGTAAGCAAGTTTAGTTTCATTTTATGACCTTCAAAAAGACTAAAAACTGTTAAACTAACTCAAGCAACTAAAAACGATCTAAAAACAAAAGCAAAAACTAATATACGCCATTTACCAAACACAAATTCCATCATTTTGTCATGTTAAAGTGAGCCATAGTGGACGTAAATGAGAAATTTAATCTTTTCCAGTTTCCACCCGTACCAACATAAAATAATGGATTACTTCATCTTGACATCTTGTCATGTTAAAGTAAAACACAATGAATGTAAATGGAAAATTTGCTCCTCTTCGATCAAACCAATCACAATTTAATTACAAATTGCACCAAGTCATGTTATCGTCATTACCATCATTTTTTAAGAAGTTGTTGTAAATAATAATAGAACATGAGTAAAGTACAGTCTTCTTTCCAATATAAAAAGACTCGTTTAGCTTTAAGAAGACAATATAAGTAATAAAGTTCTTTTTAGGAATGAATGACTCGACAAACTCAAAAGAGCGGTGATTACATTTGAAGAAATGTATTAGAACATTTCTAATCTCAAAATGTTGGCGTCCTTGCATACGTGACATGGAAGGGAAATAGTTAAAAATAATATACCGTGGAAACAAAAAAGGAAGAAATTACATGCTCTAATTTTATGTGTCCATTCATCACATACCATGTACCCGATAACACTTTTACATTAGAGACGCTGTTATATGTTTAAGTGAAAGTTATTATGATTGTAGCTAGTTGAATTTTTGTTATCGTTGTTATTACATGAGTTGATACCACTTTTGGGTTATTGACTATAATATTGACTATTATACTAACTTTGTCCATTGGACATTCGGACTCATTTTGTAGTATTTGTTACCTTCATCAAGTTGTGATCACTTTAGAGCCCGTTTGGTAGCACCAAAATCGGCTGTTTTGGCTGTTTCTGCTGAAATTTATGATATTCTGGCTGGAGTGGCTGTTTTGGCTGATTCTGCTGATTTAAGAAAAAAATATTTTAAAAATATATTTTATTAATAAATTAAAGAAAAAATTATATGTAAAAATAGCTAAAATGGTCCTCTACAGTAACTTCAGCCAATACAGCCAGAAAAGTAACTCCAACCTTACTTTTTCGGCTTATTACACAATTCAGCGCGCGAAAGTAAAAGTTACGTGTTATGTGAAAAAGCTGGCTTATAAGCCTGATAAGCCGAAAACAGAGTTCTCCAAACGGGCTCTTAGTCCTTTTTACTCTTTTGACTGTACATTCTCACATATTTACCGCAAAATATAACCTGATTGTCAAAGATTTTTGACAGGGACTTTCCAAAATTCATAGACGATTTGGCACGGATATGCCAACTCCGTGTCAACGCATTTTGTCACGATCTGTTTGACACGAAATCATTGATCAATCTGTGTCAAATCCGTATCAATTCCGTTATTTAAACTTGGTTTGGTACACCAATATTTTTTCCGTAACATTTAAAAATGTGTATATCTTGGTTAATTGCACTTGTAGTCCGTATAATTTAAATATCACATGAAGAGAGTTAACTTTGGGTTATATCAAATCTTTGTAATTACAAAAAGCTAAGAATTTATAGTTTAGGCCGAAAGAAGTAATTAATTAACCTTTTCAATTTTTTAAACAAAGAAATTGTTCTAAGTAGGAGTACCAATGTTTGTGAATTCTAAAATAGGTAATACGTTTTTATTCTCTAAACGAATTCATTACTCCCATGTTTGACATTTCTTGAAATTAAACTTGGCATTAGTTTTCAAATTTGACAATAATTACTTCTATTTAAATAATAAAAACACAGTATACTTATTTTGGAATTTTCAAAATATTTTTATTCTTATTGAGAAATTTGAGAGATAGGTGCATGGGTCTAAAGTATTTCACATGACAAAACTTTATTCATTAGGTCCCCCACCCAAAGATGAACATAATAAAACTGATAAATCCAGTAAAGTAGACTTCATATATAAGCTTTAGTGATCACTACACCAACCTTATTGTTGGGGTGTCCTTCCATTGTCTGACAAGTTGGAGTCTTATCTCTCAAGAATGTATTCAACTTTTAGAACCTGACTCAATTAAAGTGTATCAACAGAATTAAGGAGTGCAACAAAGAAATTTATAGAAGCGTTATAGATGTGTAGGTGAAGCAATCACCATTAAAAATTACATCCGTCCCAAAATCTAAGTTATATTTTACAATTTATTGATCAACGTAGTTCACTTATAATCTTTAATTTTATGTATCAAGTTTAATATATTTATATAACTTCAAATTTTGAGGCTCTATAAAACTTTTAATGTAGTTTATGAATAATTTCTACTTCTAAGGTGACATTTGATTTATCATCGATCAAACCTCAAAACCCGTTCCGTAACTGTTGACTTATCACCGGCCAAACCAAACCTTAAGACCCCCAACGAATTTTTGAAGAGAATATTACCCAAAATAGGACTAAAAGGTTTGAAAAATCCAAAATAGGACTGTCATGTTTTTATTCCCAAATAGGACTAATTAATGTCATGTTTTGGCAGTACCAGACTTCAAACATGGAAATATTTTTCAAACATGGCAATAATTACTCCTATTTTGGGAATAAAAAACTTGACAGTCCTATTTTGGAATTTTCAAACAGTTTTAGTCCAATTTCGGGAACTTTCCCATTTTTGAATGTTTATATTTGTTCATACGAGTATTTTTCAAACTACTTGATACGGAGTGTACTTTAAGGAAATTGTTCAAAAAAGAATAATATAAAAAAAAATCAAAAGTGAGGCATACTCGTGTTTTGTTCTCAAAATGAAACTTAAGTAATCCAATGAAAAAATAAAATAATAAAAAAAAACACTTCGTATATAGTAGGCTGGAGAGAATGTCTCTTATTTAGGGAATATAAAAATAGGGGTGAGATCGGTCCAGTCTGAGTCGGGTTTTTGCTAAATCCGTAAATTACCCGGAAGGTCTTGAGTTATGAAAATTAGGGACCGAAACAAAGCCCACATTAAATTCGGTTCGAGTCGGGTTTTTGGTAGCCCGGGTTCAGTACGGGTTCGGGTTGGGCCAGTTAAAGCTCGAACGAGAAATATCTCATTATTCTTTTATATTTTACCGAGTAACACCTATTTTCAAATAAAATTACTCAAAAATACAAACCATAAATAATAACACAAATATTAGTCTCCAAAATCACCAACAATTCAAATTCAAAGAAGATAATTATCTTAATATGTTATTTAAGATGCATATAAATATATAATATAGGTTTATTAAAAATATTACGAAATACAATTTATAGATAAAAATGTGATAGAGTTGCTATAAATATATTTTCATGGTCATTACGCTAAACAAATTGAAAATATTTGTAGTTACTAAAAGTTACTAAATCATTTTTTATCCACCGTGATTATAATCATACATTAGGAAATACTTATAAATTTATATTCATATATTATATTAATATTATATTAAAGCTAATTGTTTCGGGTTTTTATCGGTCCGGGCCAGGTTATAGATTTTAAGGCCCATTAATGAGCTCGGAATTTCGGGTTCGGTCCAGGTTTTTGTTAATCCGGGCCGGTTAAAAAGAAAAAACCCGGATCGGGATCATAAAATTGGGTCGGTCCGGGGTCGGTTTCCGGGTTTCGGTTTGGTTTTTCCCACCCCTATATAAAAAGGTACTATTATTTGAGAAAATATATTCCGTATTTGATTAATAAAATAAAGAAAAAATTATATGAAAAAATAGCTAAAATAGTCCTATAGTAACTTTAACCAATACTGCCATAAAAGCAACTAGCTTTACTTTTTCTTATTATTACACAATTCAGCGCGCGAAATCAAAAGTTAATACGGTTAAGTAAAAAAACAGTCATTAAACGGGCTCTTAATACGGTTTTTCAACTTTTTCTAATCACCCTAACGTATTCATATTCTGTTCATTAACAATGTCCATCTTGACTTGAGAACTTAACTACACAATGTTGTCATATTACAAGATGATATTTTAAATAATTAATTAGTATCTTTTAAAATCATTGGGTCCAGTGCTGAATCATTTTTAACAACTCGAGTTCAATTAATACTCACTCGTTATAGATAACTCACTAGTGATTCGTGAGAGATCAGCAATAACAACGATTATATATAAAGTTATGTTTGACGAATTAAAATGAGTTCAAGCTGAGGGTGAAGTTGTGTTTGTGATTGCTTCATTTTTTTTAAAAAATGGTTTTTCTTAAAAATAATTTTAGAAAAAGTGTTTAATATTTAATATGATATTCTTTGATGAAAAAAAGTTTTTGAAAAAGTAAAAATTGTCAGTGTTTGATAAAAAGCATTTTTTGAATACTAGAACGAGCGAAAAACTAAAGCAGCTCATCCATTTGCTTTCAATTTTAGCTATAAAGTGATTAATTTAAACATGAGATATTGTTTGAAAACATTCATTTCAATTTTTTTAAAACAAAAAATTGAATAAACATTTTTTTAGGTGTTTGCAAACACTCACTTATTAGTTGTTGAAACTCAAAAACTAGCTGAATGAAGTAGAGTAGTTTGTTGATACATTATAGTTGAAATTGGGATAAAAAATATAAAATTATCAGTAAATATTTTTATATAAGCAAGATGAAATTTGAATAGGTACACTTCAAAACAAATTAATTGTAGGTACACATGTCGATCAATTGTCAAATTCTATCAAATTTTAATTTATTTTAAGCTGAAGTAGTCACTCAAAAATTTCAATTGACTTTCTTAAAACAGTTTCACTCTATCGTTAAAAGATGCTAATTTTGATATTACCATATCCCACTAACATTGGGAATGACACAGTTATTACGTAAAGTGAAAATGTTTAGTGACACAAACTTTATCAAATTTAGTACGTGACAATCTTAGTTGGATTTCCCAAAAAGAAAAATGAGACGACCGGGATAGAGGGAGTACATCATAAACGAATCGTCTAAGAGGCTGCGTGAATGCGTATTGTTTACACTTTAGGGTATGTTTGGTTCAAGGAATGTCAGATTACCATGGGAATGTCAGATTGCTGGGTATGTTAGATTGATGAGAATGTATTCAATTTGTACCCATTTGTGTTTGGTTGAGACTAAAGGAATGTGACATTAACTTGTTTGGTTAAATCATATATTATACAACAAACTTGGTGAATTACTTCAATGCCCTTAAAAATATTTTCTCGTAATACCCTTATTACAATCGTCAGGGTCCCGAGAAAGAATGTCTTCATCGATAGGAGCCTACGTTTTTCATCAATCAAAAAATCAATGGACCACATGTCACCAATAGAATAACCTGATTATTCATGGACTTAGGGGGCAATTAATTAATTAGATTAGGGGTAGAAAATTAATGATTGATCCTACTTGGGAAATATTAGATATTGACTCCTATTTAAGGAAAAGTCGCATGTTATATTTTACTCCTACTAAAGGTAATTCACTATCAACCACTAGTGAAAAAAATTAATGTTTGATCCTTAGCTTCTAAATCATTCTTACTTTATTCTAAATTTATTATTCACTATCAACCACATTAATTCCTTTTTTCTTAATAATAACACCACCTCCTCTTATATTAAGTTATCATGATCATTTAAGTTTAAAAGTTCAATATAAGTTATTATAATTAAATTACTACTGCAGTCACTACTCACATTTTTGTAAACAATCTTTATTTTAGTCATAAATATGTAATTTATTCATCAATTTTTAATAAATCAAATTCAAAAGTATACATTTTGTATTTCTTAATCCAATACGGATGAGTTTGTTTTAAAAAATTCCAATGCGGATAGGTTAAGAAAAATAAAAAATAAATACTTTGGATGCTATTTAAACCATTTTGGTTAAATGAGAATGAGTATTTTTGGAATAAAATTCACTCCCACCAAGGAATGTAAGATAACCTAAGAGTTGAGTGGGTTTGAGATAGAGGGGCATCCGATTACTTTCTCTTCTTTTTTGGAATGTGACATTCCCCCCATAAAAATAAACCTACGAACCAAACACAGATATTTCAGATTCCGGGCATGAGATTCCGGCCTGCATAGGTGATTACCTTGAACCAAACATACCCTTACAGGTTTAGATTGTAAGCCATTGTTCTAGAAAAAATAGAGGAAAAGTAGAAGGCAAGAAGCATAATTTTTTGAAATAATTTCGTGAATATGACCAAAATAAAGATGATTTACAAAAATATGAATAGTTACTAGAGTAGTAATGAAATCATAGTAATTCATGTTCAAGTTTTGAACTTAAGTTACTACAACACCACTTTGTAGTAATGAATAGTCATATTTATGTAAATATGTTTTATTTTGGTAATATTCTTGTAAAAAACCTTTTTTTTAAAATAAATAACCATTTTATTGATAATCAGATCTTAACAAGAAATATAACAACTAAAAGCTGAAGCATTACCATCATAGCGTTTAATACTACACTAGGGTGAGACAAAGAACAAAAACGTCATATAAAAGCATTCATGTTCGCTAACCATGCAACAATGTAGACTCGTACCGCAGTGTATCTGCTCATGCTACTCGAAATGGGTTCAGCTTGACCACCCACCGAAAAGGAATTGTTGAACTTGCGGGTTTTCCAGCCACCGGTAAGGAGCCAAGTGCAGAAATTGTTCCGGTTTTGACCAGCCACCGGAAAGAAAGCAATTCATCCAATGTCATCTTCCTAGATCAGCGGTGGTTCAAGAGGGGGGCGATCGGCCTCTATATTGATGCAGAAGAAATCCCGATTCATGATTGATAAAGAAGTCAATACAAACCTCTTACTAGTACACAAGAACACCCGACCGGTGATGGCGGAGAATATAGATCTGGCGAGCGACACTTCGCCACCGAAAATAATATCTCTAGACAATGCCGCTCCTCTTCACCTTTTTCATCTTAGCAAGAAGCATAATTGCATAGCCTTATACCTCGTAATAAAAAGCCAAGTCCAGTTTTTTTTTCTTTCAAAATCTCACTTCATTAATCATTATAATATATTTATAAAAGGATTTAGAAACTGAACACCCCGTAAGAATAGAATATTTGCAAACAACATATGCTAGACAAATAAATTAAACAATAAACACTGTCCATGGATCCAATAGTCCAATCATCTGTATGAAGATTTTCTTTTCACTAAATAAAATTTCAAAAAGCCTACAGAAGTTTCAGCCAGTGAAGAGTAACCAATCACTTGAATCATAGAAATACACGAAACAAAAATTGAATAAATTTCACACCCGAAAAAGCAAAAAAGATCACTCTTCACTGAAAAACTCCCATTGTAATCTTGTTTAACAGACAAACGACCCCTTAAATACATCCCAGATCATCGTCTCGGCTTTCAGTAGAAGAAGACTGTATGAGTTCCAGGATTCTGATAACTTCTTCCATGTCTGGCCTATTTGAAGGTACTTGAGATGCACAAATGAGTCCAAGTTTTATGACCGAAACCACCTCCTCCATGGAAAACACACCTTCCAACCTCTTATCAACACACTCCTCCACTTTACCATGCTCCAAAGCTCCCTTCACATAATCACACAATACTATCACATCGTCCTCCATGTACTCCACCGGCTTCTTCCCACTCACTACTTCTAATATTAAGACCCCAAATCCATACACGTCACACTTTTCGGTTATTCTCACCGTTTGGCACCCAAACTCAGGACCCATATACCCCAATGCACTCTGAATTTTGCTGCTTAAGGTATATCGGTCCACCACGGGCAACAGCCTAGCCAACCCAAAGTCCCCTATCTTTGGATCTCCCGACCCGTCTATAAGAACATTGGTAGACTTAATGTCATAGTGAATCATGTTCATCCCATGCAAGTGGGCTAACCCTTTGGCTACACCCAAAATGATTTTGAGCCTTTGCATCCAAGAAAGTACGCCTTCGGGGTTTTCCTCGTGAAGATGTTTATAAAGACTTCCTCCACTTACATATTCGTTGATTATGAGTTGTAAGGTAGGGGTCCAATAGTAGCCTTCAATAACCACCAGGTTCGGGTGCTTGACTTTTCCAAGGGTTGTGACTTCCCTCTCGAAGTCTTCCTGACACTTGATTAAGCTTGACACGTTTAGTTTCTTTATGGCCACACATAGTCCATCTTTTAGTTCAGTCCGATAAACCGATCCGAATCCACCGCGTCCGAGTTCGGAATCCTTGTTCAGAACTGGTTCGGTCCATGAACCAAAATCGGCATCAATAGAAAACATAATGAGTTTCCCATAGTTGGCTTCTTCGGTGCCACCATTGGAATTACTCAATTCATCCATGCCAAGAAATGCCACATCAGCATCCTGTCTTGAAGAAGATGGGACGAGTAAATTCACAATACTGATAGTGACCACACCAAGAGCAATGACAACAGCAGCACCGATAGCGAAAAGAGAGGATATGCTGAGCATGTTTCTCTTATGGTTACGGGCAAGAGAGGTTGCATTGTGATTCTGAATGGTTGAATTCACGTCAAAGACGATTGGTTTTGAGTGATCGGACGGGCAAGAGTGGTTGAATAATGAGCCACAAAGGGATGGATTTTCGACCACTGCTGAGAGTGGAATGTGGTTGAAAAAGGCACCTACTGGCAGTTCGCCTTCCAGACGGTTGTGGGAGATGTTAAAGGAGACCAGCTGGGAAAGGTTGGTTAATTCTTTTGGTATTGTCCCGGAGAAGTTGTTGAGAGATAAGTCCACAATCTGAAGGTTTGTTAGCTTCGCAATCACAGAAGGGATCTCACCGGTGAGCTTGTTCTTTGACAGAATCCTACACACCATCAGAAATGAAATTCTGTCTCCTTTAGCACAATAATCTACTCCCCATCTCAAATAATTAATGCGCAAAAAAACGGTTTACCAAGTTGACTGAAAATGAAACTAACCCTTCATAATATCTAAATTAGTGTTAGTGATTAAAATTTGGGAAAATGGAAACTAATAATCCAACCTTTTAGCGGTCTTCTTACAATAGTCCCACCTTTTGATTATTCATGAATAATCCAACCTTTGCACCTCATCTTCATTCACTGGTCCCTGACCGGTTGATGACCTACTATTTCAAGTTATTTTCTTATCTTTGCAAACCATTACACCATAAATCTCACCTTTCACAAAGATAATATTTTGCAAAGATAAGAAAATAACTTGGAATAGTAGGTCATCAACCGGTCAGGGACCAGTGAATGAAGATGAGGTGCAAAGGTTGGATTATTCATGAATAATCAAAAGGTGGGACTATTGTAAGAAGACCGCTAAAAGGTTGGATTATTAGTTTCCATTTTCCCTTAAAATTTTATATATTTAGAAGCTAGACTACATACTTCAACATTTTGTTGAAGCACAACTTCCTCCTCAAAAATCATAAGAAATGCATACTCAAAAGTAGGAAATAATAAAAAAAAAAAAAAAAGAGTAATGTTGAACCTTAGAACAAGTAAAAAATTGCTCATTATTTCGGGACTAGGAAGTAATACAAATTTGGGATTCACACAAAAGGCCATGATCTGGAATGGTTTAACATGTCCCACAAGAAGACCACTCACTATAGCAAATGAGTCTTGCTCTTTTTGAGGCTTACCTTTACCGGTAATGAATTACGAATCTTAGCTTAAAATGCTCTCATACTTTATTAAGATAATGAAATTTCATTGTAAGAGATCATATATGTGTTGCTTTCTGTTTTTATGATTTTATGACGTGGTTTTTAATACATTACTAATATGGTTTATGTTATTATAATTTTTTAATGTGATATATATACTAGAGAAATATGTCTTATTATCAAGGAAGAAAACTTACAAAGATGTTAAAGAGATGCAATTCTGAATTTCGGTAGGAATCACTCCTGTCAGGAGATTACCTTCCAGCCTCAGTTCCTGCAATAAAGCCGCGTGTTCAATTTCTGAAGGGATGCTTCCATTTAGCAGATTGTGACTCATATCAAGAACTCGAGCAAGCTTTAGCTTTCCAAACAAAGTCTTAGGAATTCCACCAAAGAAAGAGTTCTTAGAAACATTCAAGATCCGTAACTGGCTAAAATTCCCAATGGAAGATGGGATTTCACCAGACAATGCATTGGAAGATAAATCCAAAACTTCAAGAGTTTGATAAGAGGCTGTAAGAGTTGATTGTTTCATACTCCCAGAAAACTTATTCCCAGATAGAAACATAATAATTAAACCAGACTGGAAAATCCATGGAGGCAGATTACCGTTGAACCGGTTTTTGCTCACATCTAGAACCACAAGATGAGAACAATTCATTAAAGAACCTGGCAAGCTTCCTGTGAGCCGGTTGTTTGACAAATTTACCTCCTTCAAGAACTGAAGTTTTCCTATGGAATCTGGAATCCGACCTGAAAACACATTTCCAGAAAGATCAAGAATCTCCGTCCCTTTCATATATCCTATCCAGTCTGGAACCTTTCCCATTAACATATTTCTGCTTAAATTAAGATATACGCATGAACCCAGTTTCTGCATTGAGTCAGGAAGGCGTCCAGTAAGTGCATTATCACTCAGATCAAGGGATTCCAAAAGCCTGCAGTTCCCAATACTTTCAGGCAGCTGACCATTAAAACTATTCCTATTCATTCTCAACGACGTCAATGCCTGTAAATTCTCTAGTCCCTTTGGAATCGGACCTTCTAGAAGATTATTAGAAACATCAAATGACTTTAAAGAAAACAAATACCATGGTTCATTAGGGAGCTGACCGGAGAACCTGTTTGAGGACATGTTGACCCTCTCCAATGTTGAGCATGTACTTAGAGTGGCCGGGATTTGTCCAGTGAGGTTGTTCATTGCAAATGAAACTACCCTTAGGGAGCCACATTGTGTGAAGAACTCATTAGGGATAGAGCCAGATAAACTATTTTGACTCAGATCAATTAAACTCAATGTAGGAATTTGGGCAAGAAAGGGATTTATATTCCCAGTGAAACTGTTGCTTGACAAAGATAAAACTCTTAAAAACTGCAACTTCAAAAGGCCTCTCCCTCCTATATGCCCAGAAAGAGATAAATTATCAAGAACAACCTCAGTAACTCTGTTAGACTGAGGATCACATTTAATACCCTTCCACTTGCAGGGGGGATTTTCAGCATCATCTTCACTCCAAGATTTGAGCTTTGATTCCGGGTCTATAATATCTGCTTTGAAGACAATCAGACCCAGAATGTCGTCGGTAAAGGCCGGGTCTTTGGAGAGAACAAGAACCGGAAGCAAGAATAAAGCAGACAAAAAGGTGTACAACAACATTTTCCACTACCCGAACAGAGACTAACAGTCTAAAGAGAACTTAAACAGGAGAGAAAGAAGAGAGTGATTTCGTAGAGACTTAAGCTTTCCTGTGCTAAGCCGGATATGGAACCGCAGGACATTGTTCCCCGGAAGACAAATAAGCTGGAATCGGGTAACCGCCAGAAATAGAAGTTTCTTCTTAAAATAGAGTCTTGCTTTGCTTTTGGTAAAATCTGAAATCTGGGAAGAAGACAAGAGAATGGGGAGAACAAAAGTGTTTGAGAGAGAAAGAGTGGTGCCTTAATGCGGTGGCGTGGCTTTGAGCTTCCTCAGCCACTGGGCCCTTTGTCTTCTTCGTTTTAAAGATGAAAGAGAACGAAAGTAAAAGTGCAGTTTAAATTTCTCTCAATGTAATGGCAAGAATATGGGTAAATTATAGAGGTGGGCAAATTCATTTTGTCATGTAAAGTGAGTCATGGTGAACGTAAATGAGAAATTGCACATTCGGTAACACCAAAATCGACTGGTTCTACTGAAATTTATGAAATTATCATGACTGAAGTGACTGTCTTGACTGATTTTGCTGATTTAATAAAAAAAAATTAAAATAAATTTTATTAATAAAAAAAGAAATAATTATATGTAAAAATAGCTAAAATTGTCATCTATATTAACTTCAGTCAATACAGCCAGAAAAGTAACTCTAACCCTACTTTTCCTTATTATTACACAATTCAACGCGCGAAAACAAATGTTACGCGTTTGGTGAAAAAAATGGCTAATAAGCCGAAAAATAATGTTACCAAACGGCCTCTTATAATTTTTTCCACTTGTACCAACATAAAAGAAAAATGATAGAAGTACACAAAATGTGTACACATGTCTGTCTTTCATAGAAATTTTGTCTGTCACAGACAACTCATTTTGAATTGTCTGTAACAAACGAAATTTCTATGAAGGACAGACATGTGTACACATTTTGTGTACCTGTAGCAAAACTCCAACATAAAATAATGGACTACTTCATCTTGACATCTTGTCATGTTAAAGTGAAACACAATGAATGTAAATGGGAAATTTGCCCCTCTTCGATCAAACTAATCACAATTGAACTACAAATTGCATCAAATCATATGATCGTCATTACCGTCATTTTTTAAAGAAGTTGTTGTAAATAATAATAGAACATGAGTGAAGTACCGTCTTCTTTTCAATTTAAAAAGACTCGTTTAATTTTAAGGATGTTTTTACTAATTTGCTGGTCTGGTCTGGTTTGGTCTGGTCTGGTCTGGTCTGGTCTGGTAAGGTCTGGTTTCTTTGTATTTTTATAACTATCCAAGTCTGGTCTGGTCTGGTCTGGTCTGGATTGGTCTGGTCTGGTCTGGACTGGTCTGGTCTGGTCTGATCTGGACTGGTCTGGTCTGGTCTGGTCTGGGGCAAATTACAGTCCAAGTAAAAACATCCTAAGAAGGAAATAGAAGTAATAAAGTTTTTTAATAAATAAATGAGTCAACAAACTCAAAAGAGTGGTGATTACATTTGAAAAAATGTATTATTAGAGCATTCCTAATCTCAAATGTTGACTCGATGCATACGTAACAGATGGTAGATAGTTAAAAATAATATGGAGTACCATGAAAACAAAAAAGAAAGAAATTACGGGCCTGTTTATTAACAGAAATATTTTTCAGTTTTCCAGAAAACTGGAAAACTGGAAAACAGAAAACAGGAAACGTGTTTACCAAAGAAATTCCTGGAAAACTGGAGAAAGGAAAAAAGAAAAACGCGTTTACCAAATCGTTTTCCAAAACGGAAAAAATGAAACATGTCTCTCTTTTCCTTAATGATTTGGAGAAGTGACTTTTACTAGTTTTTCAAATTTGGAAAACGCAGATGCTACAGTGTCTTTGCAATGAATTTGCATACTTACACCTAGTGGTGGGTCCGGTCCCGCTCAGATGTCGATTCCATTCCGGTGCCTCCATCCTCGTACCTTACCCCTTACCCCTACCCTACCCTACCCTACCCACCAAACCCCCACCCCCGCGTACCCATTTTTCCCTATAATGACCTTACCCCACCCCCCACCACATGCCCCGGCCCCACCCCAAACCACCCTACCACCTCGACCCCACCTCGATCCACCCTACCCTACCGCCACCCCCCTACCACCTCGACCCACCCTACCCTTACCCCCCACCCCTCGTATATTACCACTTACCCCTACCTTACCCCTTACCACATGCCTCCTACCTCGGCCCCACCCCACCGCCATCCTACCCCCCACCCCACCGCCATCCTACCCCCACCCCACCGCCATCCTACCCCCACCCTCGTACCGCCATCCTACCCCCACCCCCACCCTACCCTACCTCGGCCCCACCCGGATCCCGGGCCCACCCTACCGCCATCCTATCCCAACTCCCTACACTACCCCTACCTTACCCCAACCCCAAACCCTACCCACTACCCCCACCCTTACCGCCATCCTACCCCCCCACCCTACCCCTTCCCTACCCGGCCCCACCCTGGTCCCGACCCCACCCTACCGCCATCCTATCCCAACTCCCTACCCTACCCCTACCTTACCCCAACCCCAAACCCTACCCACTACCCCCACCCTTACCGCCATCCTACCCCCCACCCTACCCCTTCCCTACCCCGGCCCCACCCTGGTCCCGACCCCACCCTACCGCCATCCTATCCCAACTCCCTACCCTACCCCTACCTTACCCCAACCCTACCCACTACCCCACCCTTAACCCTAACCACGACCCTAACCCACCCACTACCCCCTACCCCTAGACCTTACCACCCCACCCCGACCATACCCCTTACCCCACCCCACCCATAACTTCCCTACACCGACCCCTACGAGTAGGTATGGGTGGGTATGAAAGGTTGTGGTGGAGTATGGGTAGAGTGTAAGATCGTGGTAACGGTAGAGGTAGGGGTCAAGGGTGTGGAATTGGAGAACTGTGTGAAAAAATTGATGAACATGTTTTTAAATTTGAAAATGGAAAACTAAAAAATAGAAACAGAAAATTGGAGATAGAAAAACTGAAAAATAAAAACAGAAAATTGGAGAACGAAAAACAGAAGTAGAAAATAGGAAAATATCTCAGTTAGTAAACAGGCCCTACATATTTTAATTTTATGTGTCTATCTATTACAAACCACGTATGTATTACAGAGGTATTATTACATGAGTTGATTCCACTTTTGGGTCATTGACTATTGACTACTACCTCCGTCCCTTAAAACTTTGCCAAAGTTGACCGGCACGGAGAATAATAAAGTAAAAACTGTGTGGTTGAGGTTTGTGCAGAGCAGAGAGAAATAACAGAAACCACGAAATAACTGATAAAAAATGAAAGTGACAAAGTTTTTTGGGACGCCCCAAAAAGGAAAGATGACAAAATTTTAAGGGACGGAGCGAGTACTATACAATAATTCTGTCTATCGGACATTCCATCTCATTTTGTAGTATCTGTTCATTATTTTGTGATCACTTTAGTCCTTTTTACTCTTTTGAGTGTATTTTCACACATATTCTCTTCAAAAATATAATGTGATAGACTGACATTTTTGGTAGGGATTTGTCAAAGTTCATAGAGGCTTTGACATTTTATCATGAATTATTTGACACGAAATTATGGATCAATCTTTGTTAATTTTGTGACAATCCCATCATTTAATTAAGCTTGGCCCGGTACGCCATTCAATATATTTTTTCGTATCATTTCAAAATGTGCAACTCTTGGTTATTTACACCCCGGCCCGTAGTCCGTACTAATTTAAATATTTCGTAGTATATGAAGAGAGTTAACTTTAGGTTATATCAAATCTTGTACTTTACTACGTAATAACTACAAAAAGCTAAGGATAGAAGGACTCATAGTTTAGGCCAGAAGAAGTATGTAGTAAAAAGTGATTTTTTTAATGAAATAGGGAGAAGTGATTAAATAAAAGTTGATAGTGTTTGCGAAAAAAGTGATTTTGAAAAGTAAAAGTGGGTAGTGTTTGGTAAAATAAGTGCTTTTTGTGTAATAGAAAAAGTAAAAGCACTTTTGACGCGGAAGCCGAGAAAAATAAAAGTTGTAGAGCCCGTTTGGTAGCACCAAAATCGGCTGTTTTGGCTGATTCTGCTGAAATTTATGATATTCCGGCTGGAGTGGCTGTTTTGGCTGATTCTGCTGATTTAAGAAAAAAATATTTTAAAAATATATTTTATTAATAAATTAAAGAAAAAATTATATGTAAAAATAGCTAAAATGGTCCTCTACAGTAACTTCAGCCAATACAGCCAGAAAAGTAACTTCAACCTTACTTTTTCGGCTTATTACACAATTCAGCGCGCGAAAGTAAAAGTTATGTGTTTGGTGAAAAAGCTGGCTGATAAGCCTGATAAGCCGAAAACAGAGTTCTCCAAACGGGCTCGTAGTGTTTAAAAAATAAGTGCTTTTTTAAAGTCAAAAACTGAGAAGTGCTTTTTTAAAATTAGTTGCAAACGAAACCTAATTAACCTTTCCAGCTTTTGAAATTATGAAATTGTTGTACGAAGAGGTAAAAGTATTTGTACATTTCAAAATAGGGTCACTTGTCTCATATTACTCTCACATGTACGGAGAGGTAAAAGTATTTGTACATTTCAAAATAGGATCCTTTATTCTTTAAAAGGATCAATTACTCTCATATTCCCTTTCAAGTCCGTGCGATACACGGACAGTATGTAATTTAGCTAATTTGAAATTTAATTTCTATCGAATCACATATATTGTGATTTAAAAGCAAAATAAACTTAGTCTAATATAGAATCTGTTTGATAATACTAAAATAAATAGAATTAACTTATTTTGCTGAAATTGATTGAATTCTGGTTAAATTGGTGGAATCTCCTGAATCATGAAAAATAATTGTGAAATATATTCCATTTGTGAAACAAAGAAAAAATTGTATGAAAAAAAGTTAAATTGGTCTTGTACATAAGCATCTCAAGTAAACATAATTGTTATGAACTCAATATTAATTTTTTTTAATATTTCTTAATTGTTAGATCTTACAGTTTACTCAGTAATAAGAACATTTTTAATTGAATTAAAATTTCGGGTTTGATTTGGTATGAATTAATATGGTCTATTAGATGTCTGTTTTTTATGTGACTTATTGTTATAATTATTAAAGTTTGATCTGATCAGATTTAATCTGGAACTGAAATCAATCCAATTAAAAACATTCTATTAAAATAAAAGTAGGAATTTGTAAACATATAAAGATTTTCTAATTTGGAGGAATCTATTTCAAAAGTGAAGGCATATTTAAATTTTAGGTGTAAACTAAAAAACAACCAAAAATATTTACTTATTTAGCTAGACTAAACGTATTTACTTGT